TGTCCAATCCTTGAGTTCCTGTGCGATTGGAGATGTTTTATCTTGGTAACTGCAGACAGCAAAGGTGTTCAAACAGGCCTTCGGCTTCCATATCCCATACGATGCAGTGTACCGGCTAATTTGCCTACAAATGTCAGGTGGTCATAATGATCTGGCCACTCAGTGTATATCTCAGTTGTAATATAAAGTCAGAAGGTAAGACAGTTTTAATGAGTTAGCAAGATGAGAAGAAGGAAGCAAAGATATTCATTTGAAATTAATAAAAGGTCTTACCAACATAAAAAAAATTACTTACAAAACTAAAGTGTTGACAGACACAATATATTCCAGTTCTTTGGTCCAAGGATTTGTGAAACTAAACCATTGGCTTTTTAAAGTTACAAAAGAGCCATCTTTTGCTCTGAATTTGTATGAATCTGTAAATATTTTCTCTTTACTCTGTAGAACTTAACAAGAAAAGATCATAATTAGTATACGGTCTACCACTATATAAATCAAACTTTTGAGGACTAATTCAAGTTTTGGATTTCACAGGAACGAGAAATTAAGAGTTGAAGCTGCAATTAAAAAGTACCCAAACCTTACCCCACTCAATGCATACCTGCTTTGTGCTTGTTAGTCAATTTATTATGGTCATCTTGATGAAAATATTCATAACAAGAAGTTCCCAAAAGTTCCTGAGGCAGATATCCTAAAATTGTTGTTGCCCTGGTTTTAAAATTAAAAAGAAACTTAGAATTGGTGAACAAATTCCTTCCAGAATCCTGAAGGTCCATACATGGTCAGGACAGTAGGGAAGTGGACTTGGGGATGAGTAAATCAGGGGCATCACTAACCCAGACCAGAGCTGCAAAACAGAATGGACACCCAGGCACGAGGCTACTCCAGAGGACACCCACCCAATCCACTGCCAGTGAAATTGTGGCCAGAGACCCATGCCCAGTTTCTGCGCCACTGGCTAAGAAATATTCCAAGTTTACATTTTGGCTTGAACAAATTTACTGATAATATCCATATTGTTATTTCATTTAAACTTTATTTCCTGTTTTGAAGTCCAACAGTCCTAAGCCACATTTTAATAGCCTTAAATATCCCATTGAACTCTAGTCATTAAGGCATATAAATGTTACCTTTGGTCCACATAGACAAATTTTCCATTCATTGCAAAACGGGTTATAAATTCAGTTGGTTTCACTTTAACCTCTCCACTGTTCCGTGGGACAGTATTTGGATATAATCTCCCAATGGCAACAAGGCAGGTGAAATTGCTGTCTTCCTTACTGTTCCTTTCTTCTTCCATTCCAATAGTATTTGTAGGCCAGCTCCTCAAGTAACCAGTGCAGTGGACAGTGCAGAATTTCCTATGATCTAATTCAAAAGTTTTTTAAAAGAGCATTTGTCAATTATATCTCAATAAAACTGTGTGTGGGGGGGAGATAAAATAGCATTTGAATCATTATGAATTCTTATATTTCTTACATTGACATGAGTTATAATGTGCTTTGAAATATTCAAATAATGTATTTCATTGAAATCGATTGTGTTTAACCACTTTATTCTTAATGGGTTATTTTCCCTCAGGAATTAAACTATAAGTACTATATCAAAAAGTAAGAAGACTGCTTTAATTTAGGTTTAAACAGGTCTATATTTATTTATTTCTAAGTCAATTTTTAAAAATACTGTAATTTATATCTGTTAGAAAAAGTTAAATTTCATGCTTTCTTGCCCTTAGCCACAAAGATACTGTTTTCAACTTATTAAAATTTTGATATAATTTATATTCCTAAGTTCAAAGGATAATTATGTATACATTCTTAAATTTCTTATGTTAGTACTTATAATGGTTATACTAGATTATAGACAAAATTTGGAGACCACTTAGAGAAATTTATAATAAAATGTATTATAAAAATAAAATTTGACTCAAATTTCACTTTCAGAAAAAAAAAATCCCAAGCTTACCTCACAGGAAAAGGTCTAACTAGAAAAATAAAAAAACTGAAGATAATCCATATACTTAAATATCAGGAAATGCTTAAGAAAACACTGAAATGCAACACAGGCATAAAAGGCAGGCAGTCTACAGAGTATGGCAGTCCACAAAAAAAGTGACTTGAAGATTAAAAAGAAGAAAAAAGGGCTGGTAAAAATTACTTCAACTGTTTGTGATAACCTTTAGAAAAGACCAGGACGGTCACTGTTTTAAATCGGCACTATCTGATAAGACTGTTACTACAACAATTCTTTTAAAAACATGTTTTTAAATAGAAAATGATATGGGCTGTCTTATAAAATAGCAACTAATAGTAACAGCAAAGATTTATAGCACACTTGATGTGCTATGCTCTGTTTTAAGTGCTTTAAATGTATAATTCATACACTAATGTATTAACAGTCCTGTGCGGTGTTCTAATATTGTCCCCACTGTGTTAGGAAACTGAGAGTTAACACCAAGGTCACAGCAGGGAGGGTGGAGCCATGGTTTACATGCAGACAAGCTGGCTCCAGAGCTCCCTTTCTGAGCCACCGATGCCCTGCTATTTGATGACAGTGAGTGCTCTGTCACAGGGGTCCAAACAGGACTTGCCTGGATAATGGGGGAGAAGGGGGCTACAAAAAGGTATTCCAGTCAGAGGGAACAGCCACTGCAAACTGAGTCAAGAGACAGCAGTCAGATGTGGCTGAAGCATGGTCTGCGATGGGGAAATGGCGACATAGCAGGCAACAGTTTGGCTTTTGTAAGCCATGCACAGGACCTTGTGTTCAACACCTAACACACATCACCCCCTCCATGGTCCAAAGGTACCTTAAATTACAAGTCATTCTCCCTTCCAACCCTGAACCAAGTTTATCACGTATCCCTTATCCTGTTTAATGTCACCATCATCAACCCAGGGAAGCATGCTGTCTCTGAAGACCAGAGTGGACAAAGAATACATCCAAAGATCAAACAGAATCACAGGGGTGAGACACTGTAAACCAGATGGGGTGCCCTTGAAGGGGTAGGTGCTGAGAGGCTACGTCACGTGGAACTGACAGCATCTGCCACACTTGCGCAAGAAGCCAATGGATTCTGGGTGCATTACTGTATGACTGATTATCTTACCAAGATAAACTTAAGAAATACCTAAGATGTTTGGAAGTGGTCACCCATCCTTCATCAACCTTTGATTTCACAAGTTGAGATACAAGAGAAATTTTATTCTTATCTTAGAATTCTTTTCAAAGTCTAAATCTATGACATTAGAATCAGGGTAGAAATCATGTTTATAGTGTCACTCTTGCTAATTTTTTCTAAACTTTTACTATGGAAAATCTCAAACACACACAAAATCAGAGAGAATAGTACAGTTGACCCTTGAACAATGTGGTGTGTGTGTGGGTTGACTAGAAGCCTTACCAATAACAAGTCAATGAACACATTTTGCGCATTATATGTATTATATACTACACTCTTGCAATAAAGCTAAAGAAAATAAAATATTAAGAAAATCATGAGAAAATACATTTACGGTGTTTATTTAAAAAAATCTGCATGTCCACACAGTTCAAACCTATGTTGCTATGAGTGACTGGTGGCTAATTTTGGAAATAGCCATTCCATAAATCTTAAATTCAGTTTTAATTATCATTAAAAGGGCTGTTTTCTACTCTCTTTTTTAATATTTAAATGTAACTAAGACAAAACTATGGAGTCAAAAGATTAGTGTTTGCCAGAGGGGGTGGTAGTAAGAGATGAATAGGCAGAGCACAGAGAATTTTTATGAAGATAATTTGTATGATATTATAATGATGGAGATATGTCATTATATGTTTGTCTAAACCCACAAAATGTACAACAGCAAGAATGAACTCCAAGGTAAATTATGGACTTTGGGTGATGATGATGTGTCAATGTGGGTTTCATCCTTGGTGGAAAAAAAATATATACCGTTCTGGTGGAAGATGTTGATAATGGGGGAAGCTATGCATGTGTGAGGGCCAAGAATATAAAGAAAATCTCTCTACCTCTCTCAATTTTGTTGCAAATCTAAAACTGCTCTAAAAAATAGTCTTATCCTGGCTGGTGTGGTTCAGTGGTTGAGCATCGTCCAATGAACCAAGAGGTTGCTGGTTCAATTCCTGGTCAGGGCACATGCCAGGGTTGGGCTCGAAGGGGGTGTGCAGAAGGCAGTCAATCGATGTTTTTATCTCTTTATCCCTCTCCCTTCCTCTCTCTCTCTCTAAAAAAAAATCAATAAAAACGTATTTTTAAAAAATAGTCTTAAAAATAACAAAAAACCTTAATGTAATATGTCATGGTAAAAGGGAAAAAAAATACCTTTATTAACTTTCATCATTAATAGGGAGTGATCTTAAAATAGTCGATGACATTGGCTAATCATTACTGGAAAGAATGATTTAGTAGTAACTATATGCAAAATGTTTATTTCACTTGACAGACCTTCTCCTTGGTTAAGCACAATCCAAAATGATCACATGTGTGGGAAGTCATCCATGTGGCGCACCAGGGTTCCATTGTGCCGTTAACCTCATCCTGGTCCAGGCATCTGTCTGCATGTCTGTCTGTAGGCAGTTCTCAAACACCAGGCACTGTGAGGAAGGGCCTTACTGATTGTTAACACATGCCCTTACCATTCCTTAGGCCAGACTGGCCTCATGCCTTTGGCCCACAGTGCTGGAGTGTCAAGTGAATATTTGGTTCAAATGCTTGAGCAGACTAAAAAGTTCTTTGAGAAGCTATGTGACTCCCAGTGCAGGCATCTGTGTGGCCCAGCTTGATGTGGGACTGAACCTCCGTGTGTGGGCAGAAGTGCATTCCTACAAGGGAAGCCAACCCCTAGATGTGTTTCCACTGCAGAAATCGCCGAGGGTGGCTCTCTTTCATTAATAGCCTTTGGCATTTAGGCAGCTCCTCTCATAGGTGGCGCGGCAGAGTGGAAGGCATACAGATGTTAATGCTAGATTTGACTCTGCCACTTTCTCTGTGACTTTAGACAAATTGCATAACCTTTTAGGGCTTCAGTTTCCTCATCTGCAAAATGGGGGTGGTCTGCACAGTACTGTTATGCAGATTGAATTAGGTACTTAAGCAAAATGCTGGGCATATAGATTTTAAATAATTACTAATTTTCTTCTTGCCCTTTTATTTTCCTTCTTTTTTCTCTGAGTCACAAATAATGACTTTCATTTACTGAGTGCTTACCAGGAGCCAAGCACTGCACTTAGCCACATGCAATCCTAACCCTGCTCCCATGAACTATAGCAGACCTATCTTATCAGTCTGCGAGGACTGCCGTAACAAAATACCACAGAGTGGGTGACTTAACCGATAGAAATTTACTTTTCTCAGAGTTCTGGTGGCTAGAAGTTCAGGATCAAGGGGTTGGCTGTTTGGTTTCTCCTGGGGCCTCTGCTTCACTTGCAGACATGAGACGCTCATTGTGTCCTCACGTGACCTCCTCTCTGTGCGTGTGCACTCCAGGTGTCTCTCCCTCTTCTTGTGAAACACCAGTCCTACTGGATTAGGGCCACACTCTTATGGCCTCACTTACCCTTCATTCCTTCTTTAAAGGCCCTATCTCCAAGTCCCCTCACATGGGGAGCTAGGGCTTCCACTTCAACATGTGAGTTATGGGGAAACAGTGCAGCCCATCACCCCATTTTCCACAGATTGAGAGGAGCCTGCCTAAGGCGGCACAGTTGTTAAGCAGCAGACCCGATGTTAAAACCTTAATCAATTCAGAGCCCAGGCCCTTTCCACTCCATCCTAAAAGCCGGCCACCAGCATGGCTGATGTGAGGCAGAGCTTAGATGAGAACCTGGAACATTAGAGGGACTTAAAAATCTGTCAGTTCCTTCAGCTCATCACAGAATTCAACTATTAATCAGCTTTTATTGACCATTTGTGAAATATTCTTAAAATATCTGTAGTTTTTCCAGTAAGATTATCAATATTTATTTCAAAGGAAAGAATTTTTCCCTGCCTCTCCTATAAATCTCAAACTTCTAATAATAAATTAAAAAAAAATCCTTTTAGAAACCACATGGAAGAACCAAAGTTTGATTATTACATTCTTCAAGAATGATGTTAGATTTTTTTTAACCTATGACTATACACATGTGTTTTTGCTTATGATTCAATATTTACAAGACTGCCTCAAAATACTATGACAGAACCATGCAGCTGTCTAAAGGGTGTGTAACTTTCCTTTTTGTATCTTTGTAAAGGGTTAAAAGACCACACTGGAAAGTTTTATACTTCCAAGACTATCATCAGCAACTGACTTGGGCTCCCATAGCTAAGAAAAATCCACCAAGTTGTATATATTCAGTCATATGCTGTCCTAGAACTTCACACAAAA